ATTTATAGTACTTTTTACGTAATTTAAAAAATATATATGTTACTTTCCTTGTCCCAATATATGTAGCACAAATAGAATTTCAAGAGTCAATATGTTGTTAATAATTGAGATTTACAATACTTTTTACGTAATTTTCAAATTAAATAATACATGTTACTTCTTATGTCCCGTTTTATGTATCATAGATAGATTAACTTTATGAATCAATCGAATTTTTTATAAGCAATCGATTTTTTATATGTTTTTATAAAAATATTTTAAGTTGTCAATTATCATGATTTGTAGTATTTTTTACGCAATTTTTAAATATATAAAAAAAATTTAAAAAAAAAAACAAATTAAAACGGACGAAAAAAAGTAGGAAATGTATATGTAAGTGTGGAACCACACAGGTGAAGCAGGCATGTTGACTGTCACTTGTGTGGTTATCCACAGTTATATATAAGTAGTGGATATGTGGATATATATATATATATATATAACGATGAAAGTTAATGATCGAAAACACAAGTGAAGTATTGTTTTTGTTAGTTTAATTTGGATAGAAAAGGGAATTAACTTAAAATTTAAATGTGTTTTGATAAATAGTTGTTGATGGTTTAAGTAAGGAAAAAAGGAAGGAAAAATTACGTAAATGGGCCATAAAACTCAAAATAATTACATGTTTATAACTTAATCTAAAGTAATTCAAGAAATACGCATTCTCTCAAAATAAAAAATTACAGCACATGCCCTCCATTCATTAGGTTGATTTTCACTTAACTGATACTAATCATTAAAGCTGATAATTTCGCTTAACTAATACTAAATCACTATAGGTATACTATATTGGATCATTAAGGTTTGTTGTTCAAAAATTATACTATAAACGTACTATATACCAATACAATTTATATATACTGATTTAGTATCAATTAAGCAAAATTATCAGCCTTAATAATATCAATACAGTATATGATACTGATTTAGTATTAGTTAAGTGAAATTAGATGGGGATATATAGTGTAATTATTTAGTGGTGTATGAATGTAAATGGGTATATATTTGTAATTATTTTATTTTTATGGGGTGTTTGCTTAGTTTCCCCAAAAATGAATAACTAATACTAGTTTAAGTAGAAAGCTCGCAAATACACTATAAATCAGTTGTGGTTTTGAATTATTATTATTAATTTTATAGAAATGACATAATCAAATCCATTTTGAACTTGTCCGCTAAATCTACTTTAGCACTTTAATTTTATAGATAATTCTTTAACCTTCTAATCTCATTTTAAGTGAATTTAATATTCCTCTTGTCCCTAGTTATTTGTCAACTTTTGAATTGGCATACGTATTAAGAAAACAATGATTGACATGGTGAGTTTAGCATTTTTACTCCTATTAATTATGAAATGGATGAATTAAAAATTTAAGATTTTCAAGAAGTTCTACCTTTTTCAAAATTAATTAATTGAAGATATAATAGGTAAAAAAAATAATTTGTTCTTTCTTGATTTTTCAAAATGGGCAAGTAAAAAAAAATTGGACAAGTAATTAGGGGACATAAGGAGTATCACCTTAAAATTATAATATCAGTCTCACAATAACAAATGCAATAGTAAAATTATAATAATGTAAATTTTATATACAATAATTTATATCATATTATATATATATATATAATATTATATTATTTTTATATTTAATAAGTTTATCAATACCCATTGTTAAATTAATGTAAATACACCCGACAATAATACTCCTTAATCGCAAATATGTAATTTTAGGCCTATTTTCTTCAAGAAATTTTAGATATTTGTAAACTTTATTCTTATATTCCATTTAATTTTAGGTCTATTTTGTCAATTTCATACCAGTAGACCAATGTATTTGTATATTAATGTGTGACATGACAAATCAATAACTTAATTACTTTTAAAAAAAATAATAAATAAGAACATATATAGAAACGTGTCATTGATAGATTGATCTAATAATCAACCATTAAAGCATGAACATTACTCATCGAGAAATGATATATTGTGTATATATTAATAGGTATATTGCAAATATACATATATTAAATTTTGAATATTTTTAACGAAATTTTTTGATTTTTTTTAATTGATGACACTAGTGATTCTATATGAAGCATCAACAATAACACCATGTGACCAATTATCAAATTTTGTAAATTCAGGATCATCTCCATATATCTCATTAATACAATCTTTACAAGTTTCCATATTTGATCCCACAGCACTAACATCCACATTTGCTTCATAATAATTTCCTTCATTTACCTCTTTTAATGTACTTTTCATGGCATCAACTGCGTTTTCGTACACTTCTTTGCAGGTTTCGAGACAACTCTTTTTAGGAGCTTCTATCGCGATAGCTAAACGTGTCAAAATAGTTGTTTTTAAAAATTCCTCCGTTTTCGCAATGGATGAAACCATGAGGGAAGTAACAACATTTTTCATATTAGCTTTGTCTACATTTAGGTCATTTGCAATTGTTTGATATGAAAGGGAAATGGAAATTAGGGATATAATGAGCAAAATGGAAATTTTGCTAATGTGGATAGCCATTGTTTTTTTTTCTTGTTTTTTTATAAATATTTTTTCAAAAAGAAGAAAAAAATAGGGGGAAAAAATATGGGATATAGGCAAGATACTAAGCAATAGGAGGTGTTAATTTATGAATTTATATGAAAAAACAATTTAAATTTGGTTGGTGATACATGAAGTTTGATTTTGTTTAGTGGTTTAGGTTTCATTTGATTTATAGATCTCTCACTTGTTTATTTAATTTACTTTTTTTTAATTATGAGTTTGTTGAAATATTGTTTTCGCTCGACAATAAGTCTGTGTATAGGTCAATTCAGCATTGAGGTGTATTATAAAAAAAAAAAAAAAGATGAGGCACAAGTATACCCCTAGACTATGACCAAAATTCCAGAGATACACCTTAACTAAACTAAGGTCCTACTATTTTCCGAACTCATTTTTTTTTTTGTAATTTTGTATCCCTTTTGGCCTACGTGGCACACTCATGGCTCAATTTAGTTGAAGCACGTGGGAAATGTTTGGAGGCCATGTAAACACCAAAAAGGTGTACAAAATTACCAAAAAAAGGGTTCGGAGAGTAATAGGACCTTGGTTTAGTTAAGGTGTATCTCTGAAATTTCGATCATAGTCTAGGGGGTACTTGTGCCTTATCCCTAAAATAGAAAGGAGTGATAGTTTAGATAAGTAAAATGGAACAATAAATAATTGAGATATCAAACACTTGAAAAAATAATTATTTAGATGAGTGATTTTACCATTAACTCTTTAATAATTAGTTGATTATTACAAAGCATTGGTTATGCATGTCAACCAAACAAACACATAATCAAATTCTTTTCCTTTATCGCGTGTCGCATCAGATCTTTAAAATTTATATTCAGGTCAGACTAATTCATATTTACGTCAGATATCTTATTTTAACGATAACATGCTAGATTTCACCAAAATCAACTAATTCATTCCTAAAATTTGAATTCAAAATCTTTAATCAACGTTTGTAATTAGCACAATAAACTTCAACCACTCCTATAATAAAAATAGATTCTTCTTAATAACTAAATTTTCTTGTTGAGTGATTCCTTTTCATTTATTTGAACAATGTCGACATCGCTTATAAATTTTTTTGTATACGCTAGCTATTGCACACACTACTCGCCACTTAAACGTTTTTCTCTCAAAACAGTTTTTGATAAACTCTCGACTCAAAATTTAAAAAACATGCAAAAATAATCATTCAAAGCTACTATTGACAGTTTTATATCCCAGTTAATTGAAAATATAAAAAAAAATTACAGATTAAAAAGGGGAAAAAAAGGGCCCAACCGGGTTCGAACCGGTGACCTCTTGATCTGCAGTCAAATGCTCTACCACTGAGCTATGGACCCAATTTGTTTTTGTTTTTCGACTTAAGATATTAAAACTATAGAATATAAATTTATTTATTTTAATTTTAAGACTTTATTGTCTTACCTTTTTTTATAACCCTGCATTGGGTACATGTGTTTTGAATCGAAAATCTATCAATAAGTCTATCTCACAATAATTAATTGGGATAAAATCTGCGTATATTATACCCTCTTCGGACTCCACACTTCTGTAATTACACTGGAAACATATATTGTTATTTTTTGTGTTAATGACTTTGCGGATATTTCAAACATTTTAACAAGAAAAGTGTTTATTTTACCAAACAAATGAGATATTTATTTTCAATTTCAACATATCCATCCAAACACCTTATTATTTGTACATTCCTCAATTCACTCTAACACTTAAATTCAGTTGATCCTAACAGACTCTTAGACAATTTAAAAAAGATTATTTAACAATTATTCATATTTGAAAAGTCAACAAAATCATCAAAGTTTTGGAGTGAAAATCTGATGATCTACATTTTAGAGGTTTTTTGTTTCTTCAATTATTTCATTATATAATAATAATATGCTATTTATTGTATTTATGAATTAATTGATGTAGTACGCAATCGAGACCTCTATATTTTATAATTTAATTCGTCTTGTATAAAATTTCAAAACATTTTTTTACTCCAAATAAAATATAAAATCTGCATATACCCATACCATCTCCAAAGTCCCCTTATATAATCACAATGGGACAATTGGTATGTTATTATTGTCGATGATGATTAATTAGCTAAGTAATAGATTCCTAACTATAATTATCGATCGCTTGTGTAAAAGAGAAATCATGAAATTGATAATACTTCACCGTCGAAGAATGAAAAAAGTCTTTCATCTTCTAGTTTATTTATTCAGACATAGCTCCCTTCTTCTTCTTCTAGAAGAACGAGAGGGACTAAAGCAGTATCGAATTAAAAAAAAAAAAACTTCAACTAATTACTTGTCTTTATTTAACTCAAAACTTTACACGAATAAATTCTAAAATTTTATGAGAATCACATAAAACACACTTTAAAAATAATAATAATAATAATAATAATAATATTACAAAATTGAAAATTGAATTTAGTTGTAGTGTTTGAGGGACTTGTGTTGGAGGATCCCTTTGTAAAGAGCTTGCCAATTCAAAGGCATAGATTCAAAGTTCTTTGGATTATTCCTTCTCTTTGGATTATGATCATCAATTTCTTCAACTTTCTCTAATAATTGAGGGCCCAATTTTATAACTTCATTGGAAAACCTCACCTTCTTCTTTTGTTGGTCTTTTTCTAGTCCTAACATCCAAAAATATTCATCAAAATTATCGATCAGTGTCAGAATCAAAATTTTCACAAAAAAAAATTAAAAAATAATTTGGGGGCAATATATAAGAAATGCAATTATAAATAATCTCATGATTGATTGACCAAGATATATAGAAAAACAGGTTATTTATAAAATGGGAAAATAAATTCTTAGGAATTAGTAGGAAAAACAAGTTTTATAATTAATGATATTTTACGTTGACTGTCTCCTCCTTGACCCCTATCCTGACCCCCTCCCCCACCTTAAGTACCACCCGACCACCTCTACTCCCTATTCCATCATAGTAGTATTTATCTAGATTGTATATAAATATTCTTGAAATAATGTTTTCCGCTTAGTTACTAAACATCAAGAAAAAAAGTTTTAAAAACCCTACTTACATTCCAAGAAAACATCTTCATTTGTACCAAACACATCCTACGCATAAAATAAAAGGTTTAAGTTAAACTATTTCTATACTAAAATGTGTTTTTTTTTTTAAAAACATATCTAAAAGATAAATATATCACATAAATTAGGATAACAGAAATACATTTTAGAGAAAATTAAATCGGTGCGATATTTTAACAGTAAATAAATAAATAAAAATTAAAAGGGGCAAAATATTTACTAATTTCAATTTCAATCTTCTTCATGAAATCAGAAAGGAGGTGTTTATGAACTTTAGATGCAAGAAGGACAACACCTCCAGAAACTGCAAAAACAGCACAAATTGCAGCTCCCAATGATGAATTCTCCATTTATTTCTCTATTTCAAAAAAAAAAAAAAAAACTAAATATATACAATATATTTTCCAAAATTTAGTTTTTTGAATTCTATTTATAAAGGGTAAAAGAACTCAAAGAATATTCTCTTTGAAAACTACAAAAGAACACATTTTCTTGTCTTATATATCTCCTTCAAAATTTATTTTTCTGGATTATTTTTTAGGGAAAAAAACTCAAAGAAAATTTTCTTTGAAAACTACAAATAAAACATTTTATTAACTTATATATACATCTCTTGCAAAATTTTATTTTTCTGGATTTTTTTTGGGGAAAAAAATATTAAAGAAAATTTTCCTTGAAAACTACAAAAGAAAACATTTTCTTGGCAAAGCTCATGGGAAGGAAAAATTTCATTTCAATAGGAAAAATATTGGAGCAAAAAGGAAGAAGGAAATGTCCTTTTTTCCCCTTTATTTTAAATAATATAATAATAAAATACAATTTTCAATGCCTTGAACACTTTTTTAAATTTATTTATAAGGCATTGACTCTTAATTTATGTGATGACCTCAAAAAAAAATTACTACCCTTTATATTCTTTTGTGGATTCTGAATTTGTTAATAACTAAAATTTAGCTATGTCCTAGAAATTGATTGGTCCATTTTCAAAAAATAAATAAATTAGAGACGGACAACTTATGTTGCTAAACAATAAAAATTTATCTCTAATTTAGTTTAATGATGGATAATTAGCAATAAATTATTTAAAAAATTCTATTATTTATGAGCTATTTAGTGACGATGGTTTTTGTAGATACTTCCTTTAATTATTATTTTTTGCGGTGTGATGATGATCACGAACTTGTGTAAAGATACTTATGATCCCAAAAAAAAACTTAAAACAATAACAATAATATACTCAATGTAATTTTACAGATGTAGTGTAGATAGGATGGGATATACGCAGACATCACCCTCTACCTTTGTGAGGCAAATAGGTTGTTTACGACCTTGAGACAAACCTTAATTTTTTTATTTCTTTATAAGACAATTTTTGAGATAATGACAAGTTAGTCATTTTGGTAAAAATGATCAAATTTACTCTTGAAGTATGTGAAATAATTTAACTTTAGTTACCCCCTAAACTTTGGTGTGACCCTTGTATAATTTTTTGTGTGACCCTTGTGTAATTTGGTGTGACTATTCATCATTAAATTTTGTTTCCACACAAAAGTTGCTGCATATATGTTCATGCTTTTTGTGTTATCATTTAATCATCAATTATCTCCCAAACAAAGCAAGAAACTTAAGTTAAGTTATTACTTAATCAATGATCACATTAATTTGCCTTTCAATTACATGACATATTATATATGCACCACAAGGGCCGGGGTCCTAACATGTGAAAAAAGAAAATCTTGTATATCGATGTATCATACTTTTTAGATCATATCATTATAAAAAGTAACTGAAAAATCTTTTCAAATTGAGAGAAGGAGTGAAAGCGTGTAACGATTATTATAACAACGTAACCAACTGAAATTTACATATATTTTATATATATCATAGTTGTGTTCTTTCATTTTCAACAAAAACTCAAAATTTTCCTAGCTAGGAAAAATGTCATTAGAAAAAAGTACTACTACTAATGCCATTATCCTAAATATTAAACCCAAAACTTTGTCCAAAAACTTGTTCTTGAATGGAATTTTATGCAAAACCCTAGTCTTCTTAACCCTAATTCTATATCTAGTATACTTTTTCTTATCATCATCATCAACAACAACAACAACCCTATTACAATTTCCCCCCACAAAAAACATCATCAAATCATCAAAACAATATTATTTTAATTCCAATAATATTAAAACCAATATTAGCCATTTAGTTTTTGGAATTGCAGCCTCATCAAACACATGGGGTAAAAAAAAATGTTACATAAATTCTTGGTGGAAACCAAATATAACTAAGGGTTATCTTTTCTTAGATAGAACCCCAAATGATGAACACTTACCATGGCCTAATTCATCTCCTCCTTATAGAATTTCTAGTGACAATTCGCGATACATGCCTTACAACAAACATGGAATGCCATTCGCGATTAGAATGGTGAGAGTGATTCAAGAGACGTTCATGGAAGAACATGACTCTAGTACTGTTAGATGGTACGTTATGGCTGACGATGACACTGTATTGATGATTGAAAATTTGGTCAATGTGTTATCAAAGTATGATCATATGAAATACTATTATGTTGGGATGAATTCAGAGTGTATTGTGAGTAATTTTGGAATGTCATTTCAAATGGCATTTGGTGGTGGTGGTTATGCATTGAGTTACCCTTTAGCACAAACTTTGGCTAAGAATATGGATACTTGTATTAAGAGGTATCCATATTTGTATGGAAGTGATCACATTTTACAAGCTTGTATTGCTGATTTAGGAGTCACCATTACACTAGAAAAAGGGTTTCATCAAGTAAGTAATCAAACTCTTTTTTTTTTTCGTGACTGGTCAGAGGCGCATTCATAATTTAAAGTTGTAATAACGACTTTGAGTAAATATACAATAATAACTGGAATTATAATCAAATATATAGAGAGAGATATTTAATTTGGTGTCGCGATGGCCGTGATGACTTATGAGTAAGGAGAGCTAAGGTCTTATCTTACTAATCCTATATCAGGTTAGTTATGTTAAAGTGTCTCTGATATTTTTCAAGAATAATATTGGCCAGTGAAATTATAATTTTTCATAAATATTTTTCTTTTTTTTTGTTTGTCTCCAAAAATGATATATTTTACGTTTAGGATCAATTTAACTTCTTGTTTTATTCATAGTGAGATAATTAGTCACACAAAATATCTTTGGCTTGTTCTAGCTAGACTACAAATTTTAAAAGTTTGTATTTTTTAAAATTTTGTGTTCAATTAAATATAATTAAAAACTAAAGGAATAGTAAATTGGGAAGTGTATTCTGATGAAATCTCTAATTAGTACTAATAAATATTAAATAATAATTAATAATGTCTCAATTGTAAGTTAGAGTAATAAGTAATATGAAGTAAATGTTATGATAATTATATTCACTATATCAAAAATAATCTTTAGCGGCAATTAATTAACGATAATATATAGCTCAATTGCTGCTAAATATTGTATTGTTAGCGGCAATTAGCCCTCTTTGTATATGTCCCTAAGCCTTTAGTAACATTGGATATATATAATAACACTTAACTAATGCCGGTAAAGACTTTAGCACTCTTTATTAATGTGTCTATTTATTGCCGCTAAAAGTTATTTTTACTATAGTGATTGCATATTTCACACTCCCTTAATTTTTTACTTCATTCCCCCTCCCTCGATAATCGAACATCAGAAAATGACTTTCTCATATTATTTCAGATCGACTTGCGTCGCGATATATCAGGATTTTTATCAGCTCATCCACAATCACCATTCATATCACTCCATCATCTTGACTTAGTATCACCAATTTTTCCTTCAATGAACCATTATGATGCCTTAAATCATCTAATGAAAGCTGCAAGTGTTGATCAATCTAGACTACTACAACAAAGTACATGTTACAATAAGAGACACAATTGGACGTTTTCAGTATCATGGGGATATTCAGTACAAATTTATGACAAAATTATATCACAAAGTTATCTTCAAACTCCAATTGAGACATTTGGTGAATGGAGAAAAGGTGCATGGCCACCTTACATGTTTAATGTTAGAAAATTCAACAATAATAATAATTTTTCATGTGATGAAGTTCCAAATATTTTGTTTTTTGATTCTTTGGAGGGTACTAGGTTGAATCATATTGTGACAACATATGTCAAGAAAAATCATAGGATTTGTGCCAATAATGATGATGATCATTCTTCTAATGGTGTCATGAAAGTTCATGTGTTCTCACCTATGGATAAGCTTCATGTGGGGGTAAGTTAACTTTGCACGCACTTCGTTTCGATTTGTTTGTCTTAATCTGTTTCAAGAAAAATATTTCTTATTTTCTTTAGTATATTATACATATGTATTTGTGTGTGTTTATTGACCAATCAACATTACATCAAAAGAGATATTTAGTGGCAATAGATTTTTTTCCTTTTAACGACAATATTTTTTGCTGCTAAAATCTTTAACGACATGTACATGGAGTGTTGGTTATAAATGTTTGTATTAATATTATTGTTGTTAAAAATATAATATAGTGATAATTATATTATTATTGCAAAATTCTTTATTTGTTACATTGTAGTGGAAGGACAACTTTGGAGTAATAGTGAAGTTGTCTATAGGTGATGTACATACCGCATATAGATTGTCTTCGTGAATTCGAGCTGTGGAATTAGCCATTAATAATGCTTGTGTAAGAATAGGTTGTCATTATAGGTTCGAAGTATACTTGAATTGATGTGACCCTTTTTCGAACTCTAAAATAAAAGGAATTTTATAGTCTATAGGATAGAAATAGAAGAAGAATTATTTTAGACCCCAAAATTATAAGCACTTTAATATGAGACTTTATATTACATTATTATTATTATTTGCAGAGTTAAAATAGTATTTTCTTTGATGATTCTTTTTCAATATTTATATTGAGGTTTTTATTATAAAAGTTTGCCACCAAGAGTACTTTTTGTGACTTTAAAAAAAATAAAAATTAAAAAAAATAAAAATATATATATATATATAATCCTTCTCTTCTTTTTTTTTTTTTGTACAGGATGGTAACAGAAGAGAATGTTGTGACATTATTCAACCAATTGGAATGGACTCAATGGCCATCAAACTTAGGACTTGTATGAAACATGAAATTATTGCATGAGGAAAAGAAAAAAAGAGAAAATGTTCCATACTTGTATTGAGACTTAATTAAATTTTAATTCGTATCGAAAAATCTCATATTGAAGTAAATTGTTTTTTAACAAAGATAACTTCATACATATAGCTTTAATTCAAGATTTTTTATTAAAAATAATAATATATTCAGTGTAATGTAATAGGTGTGATTCGAGAAGGATAAAATATACATAAACTTTATCTCTACCTTATATATAGAATAAAGAAATTATTTTTCCGATAGACTCTCGACTCAGAAGAAAAAAAGAAAGTTATCCTATAAACCTAGGAATTATTTTTAGTACTACATGTCTCTTTTGTCTTTATTATAACTTTATATTTTCTTAACCTTGAATAATAAGTTGATGACTAAAGACAGTGAGAAGATTATTAAAGAGATAATGGCCTACACAAAAAGGAAAAAGAAAGAAAAAAAGTAGGATAACACATATATAACCAATAAAATTAAGAAGCTTGTCCACTAAGATTGTAATTTTTATAATTTTTCACTCGATGTTTTGTATTCGCTTTTGGATTTAACTAATTCAACTTCACATCATGTAAAATAAAAGAACTTTTTTTTTTTAATAATTTCTTAGGAGGTTGTGTACAACAATCTTAAAATCAGTCCCTCCATTGGAGATGAAACACTCTCTATCAAGGTGAGACGACTCTATATTCAGGCTCGAATCTAAAATCGTGTCTTTTCAATGAAATGACAAAACTACCTCTCAAGTCACACACTAAATTAAGCATCCAATGTACACTACTTCAAGACTGCCTTTTTGAAAAGAAAAAAAAAAGGCAAAGTCATTTATTTTATTTAAAAATATAAAATCTAAATTATATTTTAATACATTATATATTATAAAATATTACATTTAATATCACAAAATTTTATTTTATTTTTATTTTTTAAAATTACATGTTAGACTAATTAAAAACATAAAATAAACCTGATAGAATATCTTCTTCTTTTTTTAACTAAAATGTAAAGAATATTGTGTTCACATTTAAAAGTTCAATAATTCAGACACATAGCTCTACATACATGCATCTATATAAACACTTAAAAAGAGTGATATATCTCTAACAACAAAAAAAAAAATTACATTTTTAGTGTGTCTAAAATTTGTGAAAGTTCAGCTCAACTCAGCTTGACTCGACTACACAACTCAACTCAACTCAACTCAGCTTAACTCGACTACATTAATGGAGATGATCATAGATAGAGAGCACGACCCGATTGTGTTCTTTGATTTGGAGATGAGGTATTCAAATCCGGGTCAAAATTGGGTCCTATTGGAATTCGGATCGATACTCGTATGCCCGAGGAGGTTAATTGAGCTTGATAGCTATTCGACCCTGATCCGACCCGATGATCCGTTATTCTTGGATACTTTTTCGGATCTTTCTAATGGTATCACAAGAGAAGCTTTAGCTTGTGCCCCTCACTTCTCTGAAGTTGCTAAAAAAATCTACAAAATCCTTCATGGTAATTAACATTAAACATTTTTTTTTTTTAACTATAGAATGAGAGTGTTCATGTGTCGAAGTAACGGTAAAATTATATTCATATAATCTAGGTTATGATATTGATGCTTGAAATCAATCACTGAAACTTGGAGTTTAGAGCATAAAAGGCAACTTTTTTTTTTTAATAAAAAATTCCTAAGGGTAACAAAATATGGAAACAAACCAAAAGGTAAAGTTAACAGGTCCCTTTTTGGTTTGTTTGCATTCTTGTTACCCTTCTGAAATTTTTGATAAATAAAAGTTGTCTTTTAGACTCCAGACTCCTGAAACTTGAGTCAAGGTGGCTCTACCTACATTGTACTCCGTGGTGCAGCCACCTATGTCAAGGTAGCCGAAAAATTACACTATTTAGCTTAATCAAAATTTTAATTATTTTAATATATGTGGTGATTTGATCTCCTTATTTTTTTGGTATGTTAAATACTTTTTAATATTTTAATGTCTCTTAATAAAATTCCTGGCTCTGCCGTTTAATTTGTATCTCTGGGATGCGATCCTTCCCAAATATATACTAGGGATGTTTCTTGCAATAATTTGCTCTTTTTTACACTAGTAATGTAGAAAATATAATTTTTTTAAGATTCTCATTCAGTGTTTGTCACCCTACGAGACTTGATTAATCTAAATTTATATTTTAAAAAATTCACTTTAAGAATAATAGATCTCAGCCCTATCAGCATCGGAGATGTACTAATCAACAAATTCACAAAACCAACTATGTAAATGTACCAATAGAAATGACTCTATACCTAAAGTTCAATTCAAGCGCTCTTTTAAAAGTATTTTACTATCTTATTAAAATCTTCGATGGTATGTAAAAATTAAATATTATGAGATTTTTTTATTTTATTTTTTTGTGATGACACAGGGAAAATATGGGCTGGACACAATATTCAGAGATTTGATTGTGTTAAAATTAAAGAGGCATTTGATGGAATTAATAGGCCATCACCAGAATATAGACACTTGATTGATTCACTTCCATTGCTAAAAAAATGGTTTGGAAAGAGGGCTGGAAACATGAAGGTATATATCTCTTTATAACTTTGGTGAATGTTGTTACATGATTTTGCAAACTCGAGAGTGTAGCCTAGTAGTAAATGAAGTTAGAATAGATCATGGAAGGAGGGTCGTCAGACCTAGTGCCATAGTTACGGATTCATTTGAATTTAGTAATTTTGATTCATACCGTTGAATCAATCATGTTTTTTTCTATTTTGATTTATGTCATCTTTTTTTTTAGTGTGTTTCAAAAATAATGTCACTTCTATATTTAGTGATTCTAGGTGTGTCAAATAGTAGGCAAGTTGGACTGAAAATGTGGGAGTCAAAATATGTTAGAGATAATATAAAATGAACGGGTTATTGCTTAGATTGAAATGAGCTAAGTATTTAAAAAAATGGTCAATTTGCGCTATATATCACCCAACTTTTAGATAGACTTAATTAGGCGGGTGGAAATAATTTGACTTAATAAATGAGCGTGTCAATTAGGTTGAGCATGTCATGTTTTCATGGGCTAATATTGTCACCCTTAAGTAATTCCTGAATTCCAATATCTCATTTGACATTAAGACCACAAAATTCAAAAGTTTTTTTATTTTTTAAATTCCATACATATTTAAATTACGACACATAAAATGAAATTAAAATATATATATATATATATATATATATATATAGAAAAAAAAGTAGATTCAGAATTATATGAAATGTGATAGAATTCTGCATTTCGCCTCATAAAGTTCAAATCTTGTATCTGTCTCTGCTAATAGAAAACCAAAATCAACCAATTCACAACAACAACAAAATAAACTTGATGGACAAAAATATTTTATAGTTGCTCGAACTTGTGAGAGGTTGTAAGTATCCCGTGGATTAATATTTTATTTATATAAACAATAAATATTAATTATCTAAAATCATATAGTATTCATATTACCCTTCCTTTTATCCAAAAATGTTTATCCTAAAATTTGAGTGATAATGTTTTTGGCAGTTGGATAGTCTAGCAGCATATTTTGAATTTGAAGACCAAGTACATAGGTAAGTATGAATATTCATTTGCATTGAGGAAAGAAGATAATGGTCAAAAATATATCTAAAGTATTATTATTTTTTGAGTTTTATATCGAATCTATTACATGTTTGTGTTTTCTATCTTAACTATCATCAACTATATATCAAAACATACTTCGAAAGTGACCAGATCAAGTGTTTGTATACAAGTGCTAAAAGGCTCGTGACAACTTAATTTGCTCATAAAATATCGTCCACATGGTAACTGATCAACTTTGATAAATAGTTGGTGGTAGTCGAATAGGAAACGCAAACACTTAATAATTCAGATAAAAAATTCGTAAAAAAAAATTATCACGTGTGTTTTTGACCGTTATCTCTATAAAGAAATATAAAAGTTTGCTAGTTTTGTTTGATAATTAAACAAAGAATTAAAAGTTGATAATAGTTTGATGGTTGAGTTATATATGACTAATTCTTTAGTTTTTCTTGATTCAATTTATCTTTAATTCAAATAACCTTTGAACGAGTTATATATTACTCCCCCCAACTTTGACCTGCTCAATCTGTTCATTTGACACCCGTAACTTCAGGAGTTTGGATGATGTCAGAATGAATCTTGAAGTTGTCAAGCACTGTGGAAGTGTTTTATTCTTGGTAAGTTTAAATAATTAGTTTAAGAATAATACATAATATAAAATCATACGTATATACATATGTACGTAGTATGTATATATGTCATACTATGATGTAGTGGCAGAGGCAGAATTTTTAACATCTAGTATATATATGTACATAAAGAAAATAATTAGTGTACATGCAGTGTGATTTTTCCATCATGAAGGGATACAGATGAACCCCTTTCCGCCCCTCTAGCTCAACCCTTGACTAGAGGGACGAGAGAAGGGGAGAACCGAAGCCTGAGTTGGTTGAATTGGAATTCGATAATCATTTCTATTTTGATTCTATAAAGTTTTAAGTTTCATTTTTGAATGAAGTTAGACGAGGTTCATTTGCAGGAGTCTATTTTTCCGGGCATATTTCCTCAAGCTTCATGGATTTCACCTAATGAAGTTTCTATACCTTCTATTTACACGATCCCAGCCTCTTTCTACGATGGAAACAACCCTAAAATACGTGTTATGCACAATGATAGAGATTTGAAGCTACATTGTATACGCCTCAATGTTCGATTTGGAATCAAGATATTCAATGATGTTAACCCTCGACTCACTTTCGTGGTAGATTCCTCTTTTCGTTTATGTGAAGTTCTAGATAAATGTGATGTTCATGTGAAGAAGAGGTACGCGGAATGTGGTGGTGATTCAGAATGGAAGCCTGTTGTTAACAGAGATTATCAGAACATTTGTTTGCAGTAAGTTGTTTAATTTCCATAATCTCCCTTCTAATTTAATTATATGTTCAGACCCTTCAAAAATATTGTTGAACTCATGTTGGAGCTTTTGAGGGATCCTACACAAGTATATGTCAGTATTTTTGACGAATCTGAGCAAAACAGTTTCCAGTAGTACAAGTGCTCAAAAATATAAATTGGGACGCAAATACTCAAAATGAAGAATTTTCCTTTCTAGAGGTCTAGCTTCAAAATTTGACTTTAAGCTACTAATTTTATTGAGTCGCCCCTGATGCTTTGGCACACTTTTTTATATGCCCTAGCGGAACATTATATGTTTTATTGATCATGTCACTATTTGCTTAATCTATAGCTTGAAAGCTAGAACTTCAATCTATTCATATCAAAATTTGGCTTTAAGCTACTAATTTTATTGAGTCGACCATGATACTCTAGGCATCCATTTGAAATGCTCCTAGTGGAACATTATAGGCTTTTATTGATGACCATATTTAAGTACTTCTATCTGCTTAATGTGCAATTTGAAAGCTAGAAATTCAATCGTATCAAAGTTTGACTTTAGGCTACAAATTTTATTGAGTCGCCCATTTCAGTACTTTCGATTTGTTTAATGTGCAGGTTGAAAGCTAGAGTACTGGATGATGACATTGTTGAATGGGAAACAAAAATAGAGATAGATCATAATGGAATTTACACCAACCAAAGAGTTGAATATAGTAATTTTGACTCTGAAGAATTAGAGAGATTGTTCATTCCTGGGATGTATGTGGATGCATTTTTCTCTTTTGACACCTTTGATACTAAGAAAGCAGGAATCAACTTAGTTGTCGATAAGTTGATTATATATCACTAGTACTTTTTAACGAGTTAATCTGAGCTTAAACGGGGAAATATGATCAATCAGAATACATATAGCCGATCGACCCCAGTTTGTTTGGGATTGAGACAATGTTATCAATATTGTTGTTGTTGTTGTTTACTATTTTGGCTTGATTAATATCTATTGTGAATTGATATATATGATGTTATGTTATGAATGTACCAAGTATGTTAACAAAGGATTTGATGAGTTTAGTTTTATCTAGTTTTTAAAATCAATTTTTTTTCTTGTTATATTTTTTCTGTTCGAGTTTATGTGACATGTTTCTTTTAGTTCATTCAAAAAATGATGAGATAAAATTTCAAATTTGGGAATATTTTACTTCATATTTTCCATGTTATCTCTAGTGAGAAGTTTCTATAATCACACAAACATTATAACGTGTTTCATTATATGAAAAAAGCAGAACGGGGATAATAATTAATCGAGGTTCATAGAGTCGTCTCCAACTTGTTTAAGATTGAGGCATAAGAGATTAGTGCACTAAAAAAAAAGAGGTTCGGAAATGCTTATATCAACGACTCCATAGGTGCTATAAAAAGAAATCGATCATTATCACACCAATTTAAGTTATATATATCGATAATTTAATGAAATTGCTACATTATCAATGTAATTTATTTTGATAATACACATTAATTATCATTTATATTGTATACTCCATCGATATTATTAAATAGGATTACATGTCATTACCTTCTAAATGACCTAATTGTGTATATATATTTTTCCATAGAATTTAAACTCTTTTGTATCATGTACATTTGGCACTAAAACTTGAGGGACAAATGTTGAATTTTCAATAAAATATTTGGCATCCATATTGACATTAATAATATATTGGTGCTCTTTAATTAATTAATTAGATAACACTTCTAATTCAAATTCAATTAAATAAATATAATAAGTGAAAATGCTTTGCTTACTCACTCCTCCTTTTCTTTAATTAAAAAATAAATATGATCCCCCTTTCGATACGCTACAAAATTACTATTTTTTTCATCTCAATTTAGTGGTTGTTAAAGATCGAGAAATTTGCGAGTTAAAAGTTTGCGAGGTTGAATCAGGTACGAGAAATAAATCTATATTTATGCACACAAATTGCATGTCGAAGGCTCCTCAACTGTTTAAGCACAATATAATGATGTTGGTTCTGATTCGATAAAGGTAGATTATAGTATAATTTTTCGACCAAAAAAAATTATTGCGTCCTATTGAACAAATTGTGGTCATTGAATACTGATATTTTATGTGTCAAATCAATTATTTTTGCTAAAAACAAACATATATACGTGTCAAATCATCAGCTAATATAAGATAATAAATCAGTACACATCATCAGTATACACATACTATTTTAAAAATACATTTTTAAAAAAAATAAAAAAATTAGAAGGTTTGAAAAGCTACGTTTTCCTTTGTTAATTAGTATTTTTATTATAAAATAAAAGTTCCCTAAAGTCTTATGTCACGTAACAAATAGAATAAAGTTTGTAATGGGACGGTTGAGATTTTTTTAGTATTCTTAATCAAAATTTTTGAGTTTGAATCTTGAAAATGAAAAAAAAGTAAAAATATTAAAAGTGTCATCCATAGAAATAAGCCCTATAGTACATGAATTGATGAAATTTAATCGAATTTCTTTATAGATGTCGGATATTAATTTCGAAATGAAACCACCAAAAGAATAATGAAATACAACCATTGCCATAAACGATAAGCCAAAGTTGTGAAATAATTTAATAATAATAATAATAATAATAATAATAATAATAATAATAATAATAATAATAATAATAATAATGATTCAACATAAGCAGTAGGTGAATATAATGGACTTTTAGTTAGAATCACAGTTAATATTTTTTATTTTTTATATATAAAAAAAATTATCGTGTTTTGCCAAATTTGATAAGTTTAATATATATATATATCTTTTTTTCTAGTAATTTGAAGAAATAATCTAGAAGAATTATACCTACATAGTCAGGATAGATTGTTAATATTAAAATAATAAGTGAAGTAATCATCGTCGTCTGACTAATTGGCTTGGACATCAGACTATTCGTGTCCGTCCATTTTGTCCTGATATTTGACTCTCCTAACTATGCTACGCACCGATACGAATTTTCACAGCTATTTTCCTTTATCTGGACTCAAGTTTCCACATATATTTTTCTTTGTCCGCAATTCAATAAGTAGACAAAGCCAATAAAAGTTTAAGATCGCCCTCCACATTCTATGTTAATAGCTTAGTTAAATTGTGTTTCTAATAAATGCAAAATTTCAAGAAGATGGTTATATTATTAACTTCAAATAGACTATTTGTTTGACTATTGCTTTAATAAATTTTAAGTATAAAACTTTAAATTCTAAACTTGATATGATCAAATGGGATTTATTGTGTAGGTTAAACTTTTCTAGTGAAAAATATCAATGTCAATTCTCCTAAACTTAGAAAACTAAAAAAAAAAAAAGTCAATAGACGTAAGAAAAAAAATTGAGATTTAAATAAAAAATTTCAATGGTCTTATGAGTGGTTGATAAATTGAATTACAAATTTCTCTTCTTCAGCATAACGTATAATTAACTCGTGTAAAATTCTGAACTTTTAATATATTTAATCCTTTTCTCACCATATTAGTTTCTTTGACATTTGAAATTTAATTCCACTTCATAATTAGGAAAGATTATGTTATTATGTGTTAGGTTAAGCTATAATTATTTTAATAAAATGTCAAAAATGTTGTTAAGATGTATTTTTCATATGAATAAACTAGCATTATCATTAACACATGGATTACGGAATATTCTTATTTTTTTTCATTTTCTAATGGGAAAACAATTTGCACTTTGCAGTACTACGGCCCTTTACTTATAATAATCTCTTTCAATCTTCAAAGGTCAAACAAAAAAAAATGTTTTAATAAAAAAAAATATGAGAAGGTTTTCTTATACTATAATTATTTATCTGCATCGTATATTTACATTAAACCAACAAAACTCACTATCATTGACCTACTTAATATAGTAAAATATATATTATTTAGTTATGATTAAATAACAAAACATATATATATAAACACACATGTCACATACATATTTGATTAATTATATATAAATATTCGATACGAATAAATTTTTAGCCACTCGCTTTTGACCTCTCATTGTCCATGTAAACCACAAATATATATCATTATATACTCAATGATTTTATATATCACCAAGAAAGAAGTCGGTTTTTTTTTTGAATTAATCATTCAAATATCTTTAACAATTAGCTATAACTTATAACAAACTATCTTAGTATCCTACCTATGGAAATAAAACAAGTCAAATTTGAGGAGGGGATATTTAATACGTCAAATCTCTTTATAATGGTGTTGTTTGTCTGAATATTAATTTTCCAACTGTTATATATAGAGATCACATATTATGACATAATGAAAGGTCGATTTCACAAAAGATATAATTATAATGAAATATTTTTATAACGGATAATTGTTATAGAAAAATCTGACTGTATTAATTTATAATTTATTTATTTTGGTTCAATGTATATATAACCCTAAAACAACTTGGAGGGACCAGAAATTTTAGTTTATTATCTTCCTCTAAAAACACCTTAGAATTTTCACACGTGATTTTGTCCCCTAATCCAACATACCCTCGACCCTCTTGACCCCCGGGGTGGATGTATATCGATAATAATTTACTTGTATTTTATGTTTATGTCAAATTAATAATGTATTTTATGTGTTTATATACAGAGTCCTTCTACTTAATTATGGTAAGTTGATGTATATTTTTCACTTTATTAAATCACTCAATTATAATAGATTGATATGATTTAATGTAAATATGTTATGCGAATAAATTCACTTTTTCTTTCTTTGAATTTACCTTTAAAGTATCTTGAATAACTCATAGCTAGAGACGACAAAATTTGATTCATGTTAGCTAGAATCTATATCGAGAATAAAGTTTTTTCTTTCAAGAAGTTAATCATTCTCGAGATTCAAATTGAAAAATCTTCGATAAATGATGGAGAAATTTCAATTATCTCATCACATTTTAATATACATCCCAATAAGTTTATTAAATTTATGATTTTAGAAATGTCATGACATTTATGTGGCTATTATGAAACTAAAATTTTAAAGTTAAATTATTTTCTAATTTATAAATGTACCAAATGTCAATCTTTTTTTAACAAACCAAGAAAAGACTTTGTCAATAACGTAATAAGAGAATGTGGCCTAATGATTAATGAATTGTTTGCGAATCACAAAGTTTTATATTCAAATTTCAGTCTGAGGCGAAAAAAATATTAGATTAATACTTCTAATCATCTCTCCAACTATATTAATGAATAAAGTTACTCAATATATATATACTGCCCATGAAAACAATAAATTTCCTTGAAATTAATCAAAATATGCTCAGACTAACATACACTACAATTATAAAAAAAAAAAAAAAATTTATCAATAATGCCACATAAAATAAAATTGATAGTGATTATACAAAAACAAAACTCTTAAAATAAAATTGTGATAATAATACTTCCTCCATCCATTGTCCTTACTCCTAGGACCGAAATAGTTATCCTTACCTGATAAATCTATAATTCTATATCCATTCTTAAATATTATCGAGTACTGTTAATTTCCCCGCTATTTTTATACACCTCATACCTTTAACACAGGGGCGGAGCCACCTTGTCCCCAAGGGTGTCCAATTATACGATTTATACACGTAAAGTTTTGACTTATATTGGTATATATTGTACACTCTTCGTCGAAAAATTATACGATTTATACACGTAAAGTTTTAACTTATATTGGTATATATTGTATTTTGGACACCCTAAAATAACAAAGTAACCCGTAGTGGAGATGGCTAGAGCTGTCGCAAACCCACTTGCTCACCTCCTATAAGTATTTTTTTCAATTAAAATTGAATTATTTCCTTAAATTTTAATAACTTTTCCTTGTCAAATCCACTTGCTCACCTCCTATAAATATTTTTTTTCAATTAAAATTGAATTATTTCCTTAAATTTTAATAACTTTTCCTTGTGGAATAAGATTTCCTTATATTTTAATGCTTTTTTTTCTTTGTGGAATAAGATTTTCTTAAATTTTAATACATTTTCCTTTTGTAATAAGATTTCCTTGTATTTTAATACCTTTTTCCTTTGTGGAATAAGGTTTTCTTAAATTTTAATACATTTTCCTTTTAGAACAAGGTTTTCTTTCTCTATAAATAGGAGACCAATGTACCCAAATTATATCACAATATTATTAAAAATAGAATCTCTATAAATCATCGCTTTTTAAAAAAAAAAATATTATTCAAAGTTTAAACCCCCTTGATAAAATTTCTCGCTACGCCACTACTTTAACATATCCTTATAAATTTAAGACCAAGTCCCCTTCTTCCCACCTTTCAAATCTCCTCATTTTTCTCTCCTCCACAAATTCCAATCAATTATTTTCAACATTTTTATTTAATATTATTTTCATTATTATTATTAGAAGAAGAAAAATAGCAAAAGAGTAGGAGAAGGATAAGCTTAAGCTCACAATATATTTAATAAAAAAAAAAATCAATTTAAAAATCAATTTTTTTTTTTGAAATATTTATATTTTGCCTACTTATTTGATTTTTAATTTTTTTGCCTACAAATGCCTCTCCGTTCACCACCGCCGGTGACTTCCATTTCCTTCTCCTTCCTCCACCACCCACCCACCCACCCAATCTAATTTGGTTGGGTGAGGTTCTTCAAAATTTTCCGGCGAGGTGTCACTTGCTTTATTTTCCGACAAGGGATTACTTGCTTAATTTTCCGGCGAGGAGCTGCTTAATTATCCAGAGAAGGGTCGTTTGCTTAATTTTCCGGCCAGGGGCTGCTTATTAATCTGGAGAAGGGTTGCTTGCTTAATTTTCCGGCGAGGTGCTGCTTTGCTTAATTTTCCGGCGAGGTGCTCCTTTGCTTAATTTTCCGGCGAGGAGCTGCTTGCTTAATTTTCCGTCAAGGGGCTGTTTAATTATCAGGCGAGGTGCTGCTTTACTTAATTTTCCGGCAAGGAGCTGCTTAATTATCCGGCGAGGAGCTGCTTCCTTAATTTACCGGCAAGGGGCTGCTTTATTTATCCAGATTGGGGCTGCTTGATTAATTTACCGGCGAGAGGCTGCTTGTTTGATTTTTCCGGCGAGGGGGTGTTTATTTATCCATATTGGGGCTTCTTGCTGAATTTGCCGGCGAGGGGAGAAATCATAACTTCCGATCGAATTAATGACAAAGCAAATAGTGCTGCGTGCACCTTCATCACTTTCAATCGACCGGCGCCGGCAACCTCTTTTATCGAACCAAGACACATCATCACGAGGTGGTGTTCGAAAAGCGCGATTAGCAGAGGTTGCCGGCGGAACAGCGGCGGAATGCGCCGCTGTTTGCTGTTGTTGCCCATGTGGACTCGTTAACCTCCTCGTAATGGCAGTTTACAAACTTCCGGCGGGACTTTGCCGGAAAGCACTACGGAGAAAACGCCGACGCCGGCAAATGAAGAAGAAGATTCTACAATCACAATGCAGTAGCTGTGACGATTCGGAACTTTCGATTCACCCCATCGACGGAGCCACCACACTTGCGGTGGTCGACGGCGGAAATAGCTTGAAAGCTGATAAAGATGTGGTGGCGCTGGAGAAGGAAATGTGGAGTAAATTTTATGGGGCTGGATTTTGGAGAAGTCCCTCTCAAAAGAGTGACATGTAATAATAATAAAAATATGGTAAATAATTTGTAAAAAAAGAAAAAAAAAGAACAAAAATAAAATATTATTCATAATTCAATGTATATTTTCACATTAAGCCAAAAATGAAAATGTTCTTCTTCTTTATTATTACTCTTGATTTCTTTTTAAGTCGTTCAATTCGATGTTTGGTATATGCTTTTAGAATCTGATTAATTTAGATTCTTCTTTTCGTATCATTACAGATACTTCATGTCACTTTGCTAACTTGAATTACTTATACTTTCGTGTTTCTTAGTATGATCAGATATTTTCGAACAAAAAGCTTTTAATATTGGATCTTTTTTATTTTATTTGTTGTTTAATAAGTATCTATTATAAGACATTAGAGGGGCGTTGAGTAGATTATAGCATCATATCGAGTCTTGCGTAGTCATATTCCTTTATAGTAATTATTCGTGTTAAGAAGTTTTATTTTGAAGGCAAAACATTTTCTATCAAAGGCAATAATATCCATTCTCATTATTCAAATTCGACACATTTATGATAGATGTTTAACATATATCTAAATTAAAAATTTAAATCTCTTTATGATACATGTTTTCTCAGAGTTGGAGCAAATTCAAACTTCTTTGTGATATACGTTTTCCTTAAAGTTGGAGTACATTCAAACCCCTTTATGATAGATGTTTAATAATTAATATATGTTATAAAAATTTGTAGGGACGTAGATTATAGCATCATAATCTCTTTTCGTACAGCTAGAGATGCTTAACATCATTTCACTAACTTATGTTATTATGTGTCTTTTAGTTTGATCAGTACTCAGTATTTTCAAGTAACGAACGAGGCTTGCATGGTTATACGCATTTGTATTAATTATTCGCGTTAGAAAATTTTATTTCGGCGACAAAATGCTTCCTTCCGGAGGTGAATGAGGATTGAGGAGCATATTTTTAGCCTAATAGGTGAATGAGAATTGAAGAGCATATTTAAATCTTTTCATATAGACCAAGAGTATTTTTGGTCCATTTCTGTTCTTGAAACAATAATTATATTAAGATATACTATTTTGTTGTAGTTACAACGATATTTATTTTGAGACCGATAGAAGTAATAACTTTTTAAATCTTTTATGACACGTTTTTAAGTTGATTGTAATTATATGAAGTGAAGTAGTGTTATGGTTTAGTAGTACTTTGTATTGGCTTGTCACTATCTAAACTTGCACATGTTGTCAGTCCAGGTGGTTTCAGAAACAAAAACATCTTACTCAAATTTGTCCAACACTATTATCTATGGTCCCAATTTTTTCTAATTTTTTTTAAATTTTCTGACATGAATGTAGATTTAATCGAGTTTTGATATAAAAATTGAACACCAAATACAGAACATCGATATCAAATGCAAAAATTTTGGTGCTTATTTGAAATCATCCCTTTAATAAAATTATATGCCCTTCATTCTAAATTATTATCTAATGACATATAATTATGATAAGTAGAATGTAATTTAAGATGTTATAAGAACTACTAATATCTTTCTATAGTCATTTTATCATGTAATCTTTTCCAACTTCTTTTTTTCATGTTTAAATAGATATATAGTTAATCTAGCATTGAAAGTTTTAAAAAAAAATTATTTTTCAAAAAGACTAAAGTAAATTTTTGAAACTTTATTCACTTTAGGGTAGTGAATTTAGTGGTGTTATGTTATAGTAGTACTTTATAGTGGCTTGTCACCATCCAGGCTAGCACATGTTGTCAGTCCAAGTGATTTCAGAATCAAAAAAACATTTTACTCAAATTTGTCTAACATTATTATCTAGCAAATCTTCAACTTTTTTTTTTTGTCTTTGTCAAGAAACGCTTTATTTATCCCCATCAAATGAGAAATCTTCAACTTAGAAACTTAGTCGATACAAGGTTTTATGATAACATCAATTTTTTCCATATTCGGTGATTCGATTTTTAATTTTGTTAGTTATAAATGTTGATAAGATCCATCTATTTAGTAACATCCCGGGATAACATGAAGTGATAGGCAAGGTTCAAACATCGATATCAAGTGCAAAAAATTATTGTTAAAAGGGCGGGAGAGTCGATTTGTGTTCAACGTTTACTTGCTTAGTTCAGTCTTGATTTTTTGAATTTTAGAAAATACAATGGAGAACCTGACATCAAAGATTTTTGGGTTTTAGTTGGTATCGGGTGCGAAAGTTCGTATTTACAGAATTTTGAGTGCAATTACGAAAGTCGTATTTAAGGTAAGGGGTGCATTTGCAAGGGGGCTGGAAATATGATGGAGAACCTGACATCCGATGTAAACAATCAATTGAAGGAAAAAAAAATCTATATTTACCATCAGAGGTAATAATGGAATGATAAGCACATATTTACTTTTAACCACAATTTTTAGATTCAAGCTCTGAAAATATATAAAGTCATTTTTTATATAAAAATAATAGTATTTTATCTCTTAAAATATATTTTTTCGATTAAAAATTCAAATTAATCAAAATCTGAAGTAGATACTGACCTATCTATATTTGTGTTCAAACAAATGCCAATAATCCACATGTATTTTGTCCAATTCACAAGTCACATGGAAAAGGAATTTGAGATGATTATATATTGGACAAAGGAAAAAAACTTGGGGAAGCCAATTTTTCACTCCTTCTGTCTGAGTAGAAGTATATACGTAGGATCGTTTGGTATATCGGATAAGGATATTAATTTTAAGATAAAAATTTTTATTTTATGCCTGTTTGATTTGAAGTATTACTTATTAACTAATTTCGAAAATTTTATTTTATTTATTGTACTAAAATGATAAAATTAGTTATTTCATATAAAAGAGGATAACTAATCCCATAAAATATTCTTATTTTTCTCATTCCGCATCTTGATGACCTATAAGTGTATGTTGTGTAGGAATGAACAAACCAAAACATAGAACATTAAGAAGAATTACTAGGAGGAGTGCATGGATATCTGATTTTAATTTGAGTCGTCATTTAATTTGTATCTGTTTCTTAATATTTTTGTATCTATACCTACTTCGGGAATCGTATTTGTTTGAACTTCATGCAAAAATGCATGATTTTAGTCATATGTAACTTCAGTCATTTAGTCATAAGTAGCTATATGTACAAAAAACAATTACATATTAAATGACGATATCAAAATAGATTGACCCATAAAATTTCAAAGTCCAAAATTGGATTGTATTATGTAGAAATAACTACAATGCAAAACATGTAACATAACACAAGATAGTCCAAAATGATTTTTTTCTGTAATCACCAATATATCATTGGTCCTAAAAAGCCCATTCTAGTTTCCCATTGGGCCCAAAAAGCCCATTCCAGAATATCATTTGGACCAAAAGAAACAAAAGCAGCCCACAACCCACCAAAATTTTATTTATGTTTTCCTCTAAGAAGACATTATATTAGCATAATACATAAACATGTTTTTTTTTTTAAAATTGATATCAACTAATATTTATGTTATTTAATTTTGAATGTGCATAAATAAACACTTAAATTTGTATAAAATTGAACAAATAGATACATGTGTCCTACGTGACATAGTACATGTAGGACTTCATGTAAGATGACGTGTAGGATGTAAATTGTCATCCTTTATTTTAACTAGGTAATAAATCCACGCTTCGCGCGGGCATAAATAATCTTTCTAAGCTTTTGAACAACCTTTCCAATAATTTATTGTTATAAGAACAAAAAAGTAAATTTTAGTAGGTTTTAATAACATTTCAATAGAAATTAAATTATTTGGCATTATCACATATCTCAAGAATTGTAAATATATAACGAATGATAAAAAATATCTTGATATCTAATCATTTTTATCTTTTACATAATTGATCATAATATATATTTGATGATATAATTGTCTTGTTAAAACTGAGTGATGTTTTTTTTGCAGCGATTAAACATAACTTTTTATAATTTATTATACATGAAAAATATAGAATCTGATAATTTTATGGTTAGAATAACTCCTTGTGAAAAAAAAATATGTGTAAGTTTTCGATAATCAATATTAGTTATAAATAAGTTAAGACCGTTAAAAATGTACACCCCCAACAATATAAATAATTTTTTTTAGAGACATTCTATTTGTCTGAGGTCAAACGTTCACCAAATTTCGTTATTCTTACTTTGTTACTCTAACAAAATTTATAGAAGGAGAAAAATAAATTGGAAACGATAGCAAAATAATATTGTTGACCTTTTTAGAAATTCATTCTTCATTAAATTGCTGCTCTGAAGACCCTTCTAGATGTTTCATCAATGCAATTTTATGACTTTTTTCAGAAATATGTATGTATAATTTTTTCATTATGAAAGTACAAGTAGATCAAAATGTTGGATTCTAAACTCGTGTTAAAGAAATATTTTCGAACATTAAAAATTAAAAATGAGTCTAACCTAGATAACTCAAACTCTTAGCAATGACTTGAGAATGAAAGACAACAAATCTATGTTAATAGACATATCTTTTCTAGCTTAAGATATTACTTTTATTTAGAGCATGTTTTGTTTCATATGCTTCAAATTAAGCTTGTCGAAAATATTTATAACTCACACCAAAAAAATTTAGAAGAGTTAAATGAGAAGGAAAAAAAGAAAAACATTAAAATGATGAAAGCTTCGTCCAAGTGAGATCATATACATACGAAAAGAAAAATAATCAATACAATTTTAAGGAGATAACAAAACAGTGAGAAAAAAGATACATTAAAAGGAGTAAACTATGAGATATCCAATGATGATAACAAATCATTCTAACCAGATTAGCTCCGATGTTTTGAAATAACATACCTTAAAAAATTGACTAACACTTCAATCAACTTTCAATCCTTAAAGTACTCATAATATCCACTGATTAAATTTAGTAAAAATAAATAACAACATAAAAAAAAAAAATAGGCAGACAAATTTATTAACTCTCAGAGGATTTTCTAAAGAATACAAAATCTCGTATGTGAAGGAATGACGTTGTTGATGAAGAATTAGAGATTTGTAAGGGTTTGTTTTATTGTACCTTCAACAATTCCAATAGAGAAAACTTGCGTGAATACTCAATTAACGCTTGTTATTTAATTTGTACTAACAAATA